ATGGGGAGGTAGTTCATAAGCATGCCTTTCTAATGCCCATGTCTGTTTACTTCATAACTGAGCAGGAACTTGCCAGTCATCTGTAATAGCGGGTAGTAAAAGCTAAGGTTGTAAAATGTGGGGATAGTTTAAATCCCCAACCCCCTGTATCTGCTCAAAGTCATAATTGGCAGTGACTTTTGGGCTGGTACCAGCCACATAAATTCATCTGTTAAGGAAAGGAAGTTGGTAAACCTGAAATTATGTCCCTATTGAGATCTGTATAAAGGCCTACACAAGTAACTTAGGCATTGTTAGGGTCACTAGAGATCAGCTTTCCTCAGCCAGCCAGAAAAATGCTTTTGCAAACCAGAGTGCTAAACAGGTTACACTGCTGTAGCCCACGGAAAGGTTTGTGCATTTGTTAAATGTTACATATTGTATATAAGCCATTTTAAACAGGGTGCCCAGAGACAATGGGCAGTACCTAGAATGCTAAGTAGTTGCAGTTTGAAAATATCTCCCCACATTTTGACATTACAAAACTCTGGCAAGTAATTGTTAGTTAATTGTTAACAAGTTACGGGTAACCTCTGTCTCCATTGATCTCCTTGTTGCTTTAATTGGAAATAAAAATGGGCTTTAGTAATAGAGGCTCCTTCAAAGCCAGTCTATGCACAAAAAAAATCCCTCTAAAACTCCATCTCTTAACTAACCAGCAATGAGCCAGGCTGGAGGCATGGCTTGAGATACTCTCACCTCTAAGTAACTAGTAGAAAGCTGAAAGTGTCATTGTGACTCTTAAATGGTAGAGCACTAGCCTCAAGCAGAAGTGTTCAAGGACAATGCCAGGCCTTGAGTTCATACCCTGTGAAAGCCAACTGGGACAAGCTATGCCAGCAATGAATGCTGAGACCCCCAGGATGAGGTCAGTCCTGACAACAGAAAACTGGAGAGGAATAAGAGGAAATATTCTAAATAGAGTCACTTTACACTTGCCCTTTCAAAATTAATCAGAGCCAGGAGATCAAGAGAAATAGTTGTTTGCCCACCTAATGTCCATAACTATTTACCTTCTAACTGTACAGAAAGTTACAGTCTTGCCTTTGTTACTTGCTATTTGTATTTATAGTAGCCTCTGACTGGTTACTCCCAACCAGTCCACTATGCTCTCCTCTACCCAGTTGCCAAAAACTCTAGACACCCCCTTCCTGCCCCCAGTCCAGTTATTCCTCCTTCCCTATAATGGGCCACAACTGGATTTATGCTCCAAATGGAACTTTTCTGGCCTATGGCCAGGGTGTGTTCTCCTGTGTCATTCATGTTAGCTGACCTTGACACCTTGTCAGCCTTTTGCCTGACCTTCCAAAAGTTTCTTTTGTAACAGCCCCCACCCAGGTCACCACCTGAGAACTATTCAAGGCAATCTTGTTACTACAGGCAACTAGAGACGTCACTTACAAAAATTCCTCCCTCCAGGATATAGAGAGTCAGGTACCATGCCATGTCTTCAATCCATGATAGAAAAGGCAATCTCAGGTCTAGGATAGACTCTTCTAGGAATCAATCCCTCCCTGGCTTATTCCTCTCTTGGGTCTGCCAGCAGCAATTTTTGCCTTTTACTAATTGTTCCTTGCATTTTAGATAACTATTGTTATGGAAAAGATGAGGACTTTTACCAACCAAACTGTCAAGCAAATGTTTCTTGGACTGCACCCAGCTGAGCAACAAATCAAGGACCCCTGATTACTTTGCCCCTTTAAAGCAGGAAATAGCTCCAGAAGAAACAACCTAAAACCATACCTTCCCCCACATTGGCCTGATACCCTAGTTATTATTAAACAACAAAGCTGGGGTGATAGCATTATCCCCAGTTCTGGTCCTCAGCTCCACCTAGACCTGAGCTCCTCCCTGACTTAAGAAATCCAGCCATACAGCTGGCCACTCCCTCTCTTCCCCCAGACCTACCTGGGCCTTGAATAGGGGCAGATGCCATGTGCTCCCTCTCCCAGCAGACATGGCCCCTCTAATAAACCTTATAATAATCTTTCTTCTGTGCCTGCCTGCCTCCACGTGGTCCCCTGGGATGGTTGTGAGGGATTCCTACAGTAAGTTGATTACCTACAGTATCTGCTATCATGATGGAAAGCTAACAGAAGTGCCAAATATAAAATAAAAATAAAATGAGGTTAGACATATAGAAAAGACCAAGTTTCTAAGGCCTTGGATATCACATAGGGTGTCATGGTGAGCCTGAGCAAGATAGGAAGGAAATATCAAACGTGTCTTTTGGAAAGCCACTCTGGCATTAGAATGGAAAAGAAATGAGGACAGAAGCAGAAACAGCAAGCAGATGAAACTAAGACAGTCAACAAGGAACTATTCCTCTCAGAGGCTCTTAACCTTCTGTGTGTCATGGGCTTGGGAACATTCTACAATGACATCTCTGGACCTTTGCTCATATAAACATTTTTAAAATCAGGAAATAAGAGCCAAGTGAGTGCTGGTGCTCATGCCTATAATACTAGCTACACAGGAGACTGAGAGGCTAGGAAGAAGGAGAAAAGATCATTAGTTTTCTCATTCACTGACTACCCTGAAATTTATCCAGTGTTCCCCTTGGAGATCAGTGGGTCCCAGGTCAAGAAACTGTAAAATATTCAAATCTAGGAACTCCTATAGATGCCTATAAATGTGGAGCAGGGAAGACTATGGTAAGCATCTAGGACTTACATTGGGACCATATCTACAGAACATGTAATTACCCAAGAGACATTTCAGCAGACAAATATTGAATTTGCTTTGGGATATGATTAGAATTATTAAAATAATTTTTAATGTGTTGGTTATAGAACTTGTGTGGTTGTACAGCCTCATGCCCTTACTTAGTTTTCTGCCGTCTCAATTCTGGCACTCTACTTCTACTTCTAGCTTTTTGCTGGGAGGCTGGAGCTGATTCTGTCTAGAGCTGGCTTTAAATTGTGATCCTCAGCTTCCTGAGTATCTAGGATTATGTTCATGAACCAACAACACCCAGATTTTCTTTTATTTTTTAAAAGACAAGGTCTTATTGCTCAGGCTGGTTTCAAACTCCTAGGGTCAATCTCTCTGCCTCACTTGACAGTACCACCATGCCCTGCTTAGGCACCACACTTTTATCTCATTTTCTCAGGGGACCAAGATAATGACCACAGACCAAGAGACCCAGAAAGGAAGCTGTGTGGTAGGCTGTTTTAGTTTGGGTGGGGGAGCTGTCATTTCTCCAAAGAAGCAGAGATCTCTGTCTTATCATAAGCAATCTCCTTAAAACAAGCCTCAGGTACAGAACTGCTCTAGAATAAGGAGTTTCTACAGAAGGTTTTCTTGAGGCATAGAAAGTTGTTTTTAAATGAGGATTCAGCCAGTCAAAGTGGTAAGCATTTGTAGGACCAGCAGCTTGGGAGACTAGGGTAGGAGTATTGCTTGATCCCAGGAGTTCAAAGCTGCCTGGGCAATACAGTAAGACCCTTTCTTTAAATATAATACATACATACATGTGTACATACATACATACATACATACATGTTTTCTTAAAAGTTTCTTTCTCTAACAATAACTATCATGAGTTACGTAGTTGGTAATCGGAGCATTTTCTAATTACAGGCTCAAGGCAGGGTTATCTTTGAATTCCTAGCACCAAGAATAATATTGACTCATAACCAATGAATTTTCCAGCAACCAATCATGAAGCCATTGATTACAACAGACTTATAGACAGTTTGACTACTTAGCAGTCCTAAAGATGAAAAGAACAGACTGTCTACTTCCTTGGCTGACATATTTTTTTAACACGGCAAGAAGAGACTATTAGGAAGTAGATATATGACTCAAGTGGTAGAGCCTCAGCCTTGAGCAAAAAGAGAGACCTCTGGGATCAGTGCAGGGAAGGAGGTGGCAAGGGAGAGGGGGAAATACTTTGACCATAGATCCTTAAGCATCTCCTCTGTTCATCTTTTAAAAATGCTACTGGGGGGACTGGGAAGGTGGCTCAGTGGTAGAGTGTTTGCCTTGCTTGCATGAGGCCTTGAGTTGGATTCCTCAGCACCACATAAGCAGAAAAAGGTGGAAGTGGTGCTCTGGCTCAAGTGGTAGAGTACTAGCCTTGAGCTGAAGAGCTGAGGGACAGTGCTCAGGCCCAGAGTTCAGGCCCCATGACCAACAAAAAAACAAACAAACAAAAAATAAATAAAAATGCTGCTGGGCACTGGTGGCTCATGACTATAATCCTTGCTACTCAGGAAGCTGAAATTTGAGAAAATCATGGCTCAAAGACAACCAGGGTAGGAAAGTCTATGAGACTCTTATCTCCAATTAATCAGCAAAAAGCTGGAAGTAGAAGTGTAGCTCAAGTACGAGAGCCTTGAGCAAAAAAAAGCAAGGGACAATGCTCAGGCCCTCAGTTCAAGCCTCATTATTGGCACAAAAGAGAAAAAAAATAGATCAATGCCATTTCCTCTACCTCCCCAGAAATGTAAACTGGTAGTCCCTGCCAAAGATTCTTAGCTCCTTACACCCTACCCCCATATCCACATCCCGTCACTTAGTTTTACCTGTTATACCTGGGAAGAGTGGGGCTTAGAAAAGGCATGACTAGAAATCAGAAAAGTATCTCCCAATAGTGGATTCTAGAAAATTGTTTCAAACTAGTTAAATAGGAAGAGAAATAGGACGTGGTCCACTGAAGGCTATCATAAGGTGACCTTAAGAGGGCCCAGGATGTAGAGTAGCTCTTCATGGTTTAATAACCACATCCAGTGGACAGGGGAAGCTGCCACATTTCCCAACAGACTAGAATGAGATGCGGCCCAGTACACAAGCCACTGCTTCCCTATTGAGAAACCACAGAGGATGTCAGCACTGTGTTAGACAGAATGGAAGCAGACCTGTACTCCCCATAAAGCTCGCAGGGCAGTGCTGACTGAGTCAGGTCACAGTGGGTCATTTCCTAGTTCCGGCATGGCCAGGAAGTGGTCAGGGCTCACCTGTATGTGTATGGCCCCACCTCTTCTAGCCGAGGTTTCTCTCCTTGGAGGATCTCCTCTGGGTTGGTGACATTGAAAAAGTAGAATTGGGCATACACAGGCACAGGGGGCTTCTCCCAGGAGTCAAAGATCTCAGTACCATTCCGCAACACCATATTCTAAAGGGGGAAAAAAAGGAAACTTACACAAAGGTAAGGCTTTGAGCATGAACTTAACATAGGAGGGACACTTCCGACTCTGATCTCCTAGCTCACTTATTGAAGTTATTTCATAGACAACCAAGAGACCAGGGCCATATTTGAACACTATGGGCCCTCTGTTCTATTAAGCTGTAGGTCTTTGTGTTAAAGGCAGGATGTTATATATACACTGAGTATGGGTAAGAAATAGGTGTGGCAAAACCAGACCTTCCTGACTTTGGTTTTATTTTTTAATTGTTATTATAAAGGCTATTTCTTTTTGCTAGTCCTGGGGCTTGAACTCAGGGTCTGGGCACTGACCCTGAGCTTCTTTTGCTCAAGGCTAGCACTCTACCACTTGAGCCACATCACCACTTCCAGCTTTTTCTGTTTATGTGGTACTGAGGAATCAAACCCAGGGCTTTGTGCATGCTAGGCCAGCACTCTACCACTAAGCCACATTCCCAGTCCATTATAAAGGTTATTTACAGAAGGGCTACAGTTATATAATGCAGGTAAAGAGTACATTTCTTTTTAGATAATGTCATCCCTTCCTATGCTTTCTCCAAGGTTTTCCCTCCCATCCCCACCATTATTAACATAGTGTTCATTTTCAACGTAGTGTCTAGTAAGTATCACTGCTGCATCTGTTCACCCTTTGTCCCTCCATTTCTGTGTCCTCCCTTATTTGTTCACTCCCTTGTTCATTTATGAACAAATAAGACAAAAAGAAAACAAAAACAACAAAGAAAAACCCTCATTCTCATTTTTTGGAGTTCATTTCTATAAATATTATTGTGTATGATTAGATGCACATAAGCATTGTACCTTTGTGTTCCTCTCCTAAGAGTACCCTCGTTTGGTCTCACTATGTGTGAATGCCTCAAGTCCTGTATACTTTGTCATGTCCCCGTGTATTTTAGATCTAGTTCTGCATATGAGAGAAAATATGTACATTCATCTCTTTGAGCTTGGGACTTTGGTATTTTTGAAAGTTCTATTGGTATCACCTGCCATTAGCGTTAAGGCTCTTCTAAGTGGTGCTGTGGCTCAAGTGGTAGAGTGCTAGCCTTGAGCTGACGAACTGAGGGACAGTGTCCAGGCCCAGAGTTCAAGCCCACAATCAGAAAAAGAAAGAAAGAAAGAAAGAAAGAAAGAAAGAAAGAAAGAAAGAAAGGAAGGAAGGAAGGAAGGAAGGAAGGAAGGAAGGAAGGAAGGAAGGAAGGAAGGAAGGAAGGAAGAAAGAAAGAAAGAAAGAAAAAAAGAAAGAAAGAAAGAAGGAAAGAAAGAAAGAAGAGTTAAGACTCTTCTGAAAGGTACCATGCACTCCTGCCTGCCCAGTTTCTGTTCCTTACACTTGAGATGAAGCCACACCCATCTCTATTAACTCCACTACCAAGGGCTCTGTGTGCTTTTTTTGTTGTTGTTCATGGGGCTTCAACTCAGGGCCTGGGTGCTGTCCCTGAGCTCTACCACTCTGAGCCACAGCAACATTCCTGGTTTTCTGGTGCTTAATTACAGAGTCTCAAGGATGTTCCTGCCCTTGCTGGCTTTGAACTTTGATCCCCAGATCTCAGCTTCTTGAGTACTTAGGACTACAGGCATAAGCAATTGGTGCCCAGCCCTAGCCTAGTTTTTTGGAGTCTTAGTGAAGATGCTAAGTGCAAAACAACAGCCTCTTGTACTTTTGAGTGAACATTGCTAACATCTTGATCACAGACTTCCAGCCTCTAGAACTAGGAGACAATACAGTTCTATTGCTGAAGCCACTGTGTCTGTGGTATTTATTATCGTATTCCCTAGCAAACAACTGCATCACAGTTCTTCCTCTGTGGCAGAATTCTCCACTCCCTACCAACTTCAGGCCTGGCCAAGTAAGATCTATTCAACAGAGTGTGGGTGGGATGGCAAGGTACCAGTTGGAAAGCTGAGGCCTTGGGAAGCATGGGAAGCCACCATTGTCTGTCCTGGAAACTCTCAGCTCTGCCAAGAGAAAAACATGCCTCAGGAAGCTGCTGATCCTTCAGCCCAGGTCTTCAGTGGGGGTGTGTAGAGCACCCCAGGAGTTGATTCAAAACCTGGTGGCCAGCGAGTGTGAACTGACGTTATATGAAGAAGCTGCTTCTGTGCTAAAATTCTGTCCTTGCTTGACCTTGGCTGACTAGAACATTATGGTGAGAGACATGAAATGTTGTGGATTGACAGCCATAATGTGGGGCTATTTTAGGTTCACACTGAAGCCAGCTTGCATAGCATACCAACCAGTGTGACACTGATGGTACTGGGTGGGCATAAGCAATGAGACTTGGGAATGTTTGTTACTCACCATTGCAACAGAAGTCTGACAAATACACTGCCTAACTTGGGAGTTCTAAGCATCTTCAATTAATTAATGGAGAAAACCTGTGTTTTGTGTATTTTTGTATTTACTGTTTCTCTTCCTCCCTCCTTCCCTCCATACTGGGGTTTGAACATGCTGCCCTCTTCCTCTTCTACTCCCATTCTTGTTAGACAGGCACACGTATACCAAACTCCCAGTCCTAAACTTTGCATTTTCTTTTTTCTTTTTCACCAGCCCTGGGGCTTGAACTCAGGGCCTGAGCACAGTCCCTGAGCTTCTTTTGCTTAAGGCTAGCACTCTACCACTTGAGCCACAGTACCATTTCTGGCTTTTTCTATTTATGTTGGTACTGAGGAATCTAACCCAGGGCTTCATACATGATAGACAAGCATTCTACCACTGAGCCACATTCCCAGACCCCCAATTTTGCATTTTTATAATAAAATTATTGAGGAACATAAGCAAAATAAAAAAAAAACAGACAGAGAGTAAAGATCAGTGTTTTTTTTTTCCATAATGGGATTTTGTATTTTCCAGTTTTACTTAGAATGAGTCAAAAAAGTAATGGTGAGAAAAATTTTTACATGAAAAATCAAGTGAAGAGACAGCAAAGAAGGAAAAGAAGGGAAGGAAAGGGAGAGAAGGAGGAAGGAAACTAAAAATGCCCTCAAAATAAACAGGAAGTACTCAGAGACCCTAGAAGGGTGAACTCTTTCTCTACTATTTCTCTCAAAGCTAGATCTGGAACTCTCCCAATTGGACCTCTGCATACAACATTGGAGTAAAACCTATGTTTCTTCTGTTGTCTTTTTTTGTTATTTTGTTTTTTTTTCTTACTGTTACTGCATGTCTCTACAATTTCAGTTATAAAAGTCCTTCTACCACACATCAAATACACAGCACCTAAGGACAGTCATAGGAATTTAACCTATCTAAAACAAATAAGGCAATTATGAGATCTAATGTATAAATAGTAATGACTTTGCCTTTTAGAAGATTTTTGAAGACCTATGGATATTTAAAATTGATTTCATTAAAAAAGAGATCTCTTCCTCTTGTTCAGAAATTTCCAGAAGTCAGAGCAACAATGATCCCCCTCCACAAATTCTTTGCACATTCTTCTCTTCCTTTAAAGCCTACCAAAAATTACACAGGATCTCTCAGAGAAAACTCATGAGCACAGGCAACAGCTAAAAAAATGAAGCAGAAATTAAGCAACTTAAAATGTAAATGTAGGGCTGGGAAGATGGCTCAGTAGTAGAGCGCTTGCCTTGCATGCCTGAGGCTCTGGGTTCAATTCCTCAGCACCACATAAACAAAATGAAAAAAGCTGGAAGTGGCACTGTGGCTCAAGTGGTAGAGCTCTAGCCTTGAGCTGAAGAGCTGAGGGACAGCGCCCAGGCCCAGAGTTTAGGCCCCACAACGGGACCCAAAAACAAAAAAAATGTAAATGTAAAGAAAAACACAGTGTTTCCGTGTGGTGATAAATTAGGGTAACAGCTGGCCTCTCAATACAGAAGACACTAATTACAAAAACAAAAACAAAAAAGAGTAGTGAATTTTTAGGTTTATTTGGGGGGCGGTGAGGATTCTTGAATACTTCCTAATGTGCCTTGTACAATGTACCTCTAAACGTAAGACTAGAACACTTACATACTCACTTCCACCTTTGCTTGTAGATGGGAGAAGAGAAGTCAAGCTTGATCAAATTCCTTTGACCAGGCAGAAAAAGATCATGGGGTAAGGGTAGGGCAGAGCGTGGGAAAAGCACACATGTAGTCCAGCCTGCCCTAGCTGTGGCTCTTGAAGGCTGTTGTTATTATTGTCATTTGTGTCCTCATTTCTTTGTTTAGTTAAGCAGTCAGATCTACTAAATATTTACATCTAGCCTGAAAGCCAGAGAAATATACTCAGTCAAAGCAGGAAAGCTTAACTCAGGAGATTAACCAGGTTCATTTCCATTTGCTGATTCTCTTGGGGTTCATTATTCTTAGATGATTTTCTTTTACAAATAAATAAGTTCTCCAGTCCTTTCATACTCTAAAATTTTCTACACACTGTGATGTGTGGAATACATTGGGGTATTCAGATTGCTACATCACTGTCCTGATGATGTCAGGAAAAGAAATACAGCAAAGCCAAGAGTGCAGGTTGGGGGTGGATGCTTCTGGGGGCCTGGAAAAGAACTGACTTCAACAATAGATCCTCAAACTCTCACCTGCAAGGGGAGAGGCCCTGTTGTATTCTGTGGTTTCATTTCCATTTCTTCTCATTCCCTTAGGGTCTATCAACAACTTTCATCAGGTTTTTTTTTTCTATGTTAGGGATGGAACCCAGGGCCTTGAACATGTTAGCAAGTGCTCTACCACTAAGCCATGTCCCCAGCCCAGCAACATGTTATATAATCTCCGAATTAATCTTTATTCTTAGAAAGAAAAAGGAATAGTTATTAATTTTTTCTGCTTATACAAGTATTTTATTTATTGGGTGCCAGTGGCTCACACCTATGATTCTAGTTCCTCAGAGATTTGACAAATCATCGTTCACCCCAGACAGGAAAGCTCACGTGACTCTTATCTTCAGAGTATGATTCAACTCTCAAGATCTGAGAGAGAGAAAAAAAAAGCCAAGGGAGAGC